CTTTTTGGTAAAAACTCAACTAGACGTGTTTGGAGGAGAAAGAATGCTGAGTTGCATCCAAAGAACACCATACCTACTGTGAAACATGGGGGTGGAAACATCATGCTTTGGGGCTGTTGTTCTGCAAAGGGACCAGGACGACTGATCCGTGTAAAGGAGAGAATGAATGGGGCCATGTATCGTGAGATTTTGAGTGACAACCTCCTTCCATCAGCAAGGGCATTGAAGATGAAACGTGGCTGGGTCTTTCAGCATGACAATGATCCCAAACACACCGCCCAGGCAACGAAGGAGTGGCTTCGTAAGAAGCATTTCAAGGTCCTGGAGTGGCCTAGCCAGTCTCCAGATCTCAACCCCATAGAAAATCTTTGGAGGGAGTTGAAAGTCCGTGTTGCCCAGCGACAGCCCCAAAACATCACTGCTCTAGAGGAGATCTGCATGGAGGAATGGGCCAAAATACCAGCAACAGTGTGTGAAAACCTTGTGAAGACTTACAGAAAACGTTTGACCTCTGTCATTGCCAGCAAAGGGTATATAACAAAGTATTGGGATGAACTTTTGTTATTGACCAAATACTTATTTTCCACCATAATTTGCAAATAAATTCTTTAAAAATCAGACAATGTGATTTTCTGGATTTCCTTTTCTCATTTTGTCTCTCATAGTTGAGGTATACCTAGGATGAAAATTACAGGCCTCTCTCATCTTTTTAAGTGGGATAACTTGCACAATTGGTGGCTGACTAAGTACTTTTTTGCCCCACTGTATCATAAATTGTCAAAGTATTGATTTTATGTTTGCAGGAAATTATGATGAATCACCTGTCCACTACAGTGGACGTCATGCATCACTAGCTATATTTCAACTACAATTCATACTGTTACTGCTACTGTTGTTCTTGAAAATACTTCATTTGCAATATCTTTTTGGGGGGCGTAAATCAATATACTTATGTTATTATAGTGTAATTTTAAGTTTGCACATCTTTATTTATCATTTTTTCCAAATGTACATGTCTTCAGTTCAAACTTTAACGCATACGACCTGAGTGGACGTATAAAACATTTATTTTCTGAATTTGAAAATACTAGATAAAAAGAAACTAAAGTTAAAATCTTGTTTTTCATGCCCCAAGAGCAATAAAAACACTGACTGAGGTTTTCATAATTCATTCATGAGAGGTAATATAAAGTGTTACCAAAAAATGTTTTCCTGCATCTAATGCTATTTTTAAATCCAAACGGTTTTGGTTTGGGTTTCCGATTGTTGGGGATATCGCCGTACAGATGTCCCTTTAAACCTGACTTTATCTCAATGTGTGTCTAACTTGTGTTCCAGACCCAGCAGAAGTGCATTGCCATCTTTGCTCTTCTTTGCTGCTTTGCTGTGCTGGCGGTGCTAATCTTCTCATCGGTGGACATTTGGGGGGACGATGAGGACGGGATCACAGAGGAAAACTGCAGCCGTGACTGCCAGTAAGATGTTCTGCAAGTCTCAAATAATAACACAATAAGGCATGTCAAAAATAAGGTTTGCCAATCATGTATCCGGGAAAAAATCAATGAAAATGTGCACACAATTACATTTCTCTAAGTCATTCTTATACCTTAACAAAACCTGGTGCCTATATTTATCACACAGCATTTTGACTACAAAAATGTGGTCAGAGATACGCATTTGTTATCCAGTTACACAGGAATCTCCGAAATATTGCCTTGTTGACTGTTTTCGATACTGGCCTGACTCAAGCAGCATTACTGGGGTCAATTTATCAGATTTCATATAGTTTCCTTGAGGGACACCATGGCCAAAGACTTGCCTGAGGATGCAAAATACATTTTATTGTCAACTAAAAGTTAAGTTGTATTGTGCAACTTTGTGTTGTTTCGTATCATGCCGTGTCGTGTCGATTATCTTTTCTTGTAGTGTAATCATGTTGTATAGGATCGTATCTTTTAATAATCTATAAATCTCGTCATAATGCATTGTATCTTATCTGATCTGTTTTGCAGTTTTGTTTCGCATCATGTTGCATCATATATTGCTGTGTGACACCTAGACACACTTTTTGAAGCTACGCCTTAAACTCAGGAAGCTTGTGTTACTTTCAGAATCGTGCTTGTGGAGAATATTCCAGACGACCTTTCTCTCCCCTTGGATGGCAGACCCCACCTCCCTCTCTCTCTTGTCTTTAATACTTTGTTGGACCAGGCGAAGCACTCAGTTGAGGTGGTGTCTCCGGTCTGGGCCTTAAACCCCTGGGACCTGGAAACAACGCCAAGCAATGCCAAACAGGTACAACATCATTTGGATTCAGAATCAGATTTCTTCATATTCCATTAAATGTACATAAAAAGGGAATTTGTGTTTGGCCCCAGCAAAGCAACAGTATAGATACACAAAATAAATGACATCTATAAGTCTAAAAGTGACTTAGTGGCAGTCATAAGAATATTGCTAAGGAGAGTGTACTTCCACTGACATGATAGCATGATACTCAGTTGTCCTGACAATAAACAAATTAATATACATTAAAATCAGTTGATGATGTTGGTTATGGTCTTGCTTGTAGAATGTCCAATGGAGCATGGTTGGTATTTTTACGCCCCGGTCTAGGGGAACCTAGGCGTAGCATACAATTGCACTCTCCCCACTCCCAAGAAATGCTCAATGACACAGGAAATCAGCTTTTTGAGATTAAATAAACTCAAAAAGAGGTGAGACAATCCCAACATAACAAACAAAAACCCTCTTTACAGAGTTTCCTTAAACTTGCCTAACAAAACAAATAAAATAAAATACAGGCTTCTTACCTAACTCCTACCAGAAAAAAGGGAGAAAAAGGGGTTCAAAAAAAAAAGGTTTTTCAGTCCTAGACAAATCAAAGCGTGTCTCCAAGACAGATTAAATTAGTTTAGCTTTACTAAGTGCATACAAAAATGTACAACAGGGACCGGTAATCGGTAACTTTAGCCACACAGAACAACAGATCAGATCTTCTACAACAGACACAGAGTTGGGAGTAGGAGAGGTCGATGAGAGAGAGGGCAGAGGGACTGCATGGCTGCAGCTTAAATGCTCCTGTCTCATCAGGAGGACCAATCAGTATGTCGAAGGCAGCCAATCAGCTAACGGGCACCACCGCTCACACACGCACACACACACACACACACACACACACACACACACACACACACACACACACACACACACACACACACACACACACACACACACACACACACACACACACAGAAACTCACAGGAGGAGAGAAAATATCCACACACAAATGACCTAATGACCAAGGGTCATTCCCCGACATTTGTGCAAATGATGAACCAACTGTATTTCCCAGGTGTTCTGTAAGAGGAAATGCCATTCATTTCTACTGTAGGTCTGTATGTAGCCTTTAATGAGGTAGCCCTGCAGATTTGTCGGTACGGGCCATCCAGAAATACCTCTGTAATGCTCCACTAGAATAATACAGAACATCCCTGTCTTCCTCAGGGTCAGCTGTTGTTCCAGAGACTGCTCAGCCTGAAATCTCGTGGGGTAAAACTGAAGATTGCCAGCAGTCTGACTAACTCTGCTGAACTGAAGACCTTGGCAGCACACAGTGAGAGGCTGTCATATTTTTCATCTTGTAACGGCTATTTGTTATGGTACTGTAGCTTCCAGAATGAAGATTTATTGCATCTCACAACCCCACTGACAACATGAGCAGTGCACAAACAGACTGTTTTTAAAAGAAGATTCTCATGTATTCTATGATGATTTAAGTAGTTTTTTAAGCGTTCGGCCCCATCCAACAGCTGTACATAGCAAGGGGTTGGGGTTGGGGTTAGGGTTCATGTTGGCCAGACTTGACGATGAAGTTAAAAAAAATCATGAATGTGCAATGTACTTGAATGGTTTTCTATCAAAGCCTTTGCCGCTCATGCTTCCTGCCTGCTTTGTGAGAGTCCAAGGCCAATTGGCACATTTCCACGATTTTCTCCATCTCATTCTTTCCAACTTTCACAGTGTACCACCACTCTTCGTCTATCTCTCTGTTTAACGTCGTGTAGATGCAGAGATTCATTTTGTGAACATGACAGCTTTTACCAGAGGAGGACTCCATTCCTCATTCTGGGTAGTGGATCGGAAGCACATTTACATCGGGAGCGCCGATATGGATTGGAGGTCACTCTCCAAGGTAACAACAAACATTGACAGCATGAGCGCAGAGTAAAATCAGACTTAAGATAAATGAGTCTCTGCAGTTAGGTGTGGCCAGATTTGCAGTTTTTTCTTTTTACTCTCTGAGAAATAAAAGCTTTACAAAATGTAATTAACCGATAACATAGGGACCTCACAGGGACTTAAAACATAACACTGTCTGAATTTGTTTCACTATACACCTGTACCTTTTTCGGCAATTACTCGAGCAGCCCTATTATGGGCATCAGGGATGATTTAAGATTGCTGCCTGAGGCCGGCCAGAAAGACAAGTAGCATTTCCCTTTGCATTAAGTATGTAATCACAATAGAGGGAGGAACCAGGAAACATTAGCATACTATTAACTAATGTGATTACCTGGCACTTTTTATGCTTCGAAGCTGGCTGGAGGTAGAAGTACGGTTTGACGTATAAGGAGCCAAAGGGAAGAAATGGAAATACAGTATATTAATGTGTAGTGTGGAATACACAAAAATGATAGAAGGGCAGGTAAGAAAAAGAGCCACAAAGGGAGGAAGATAGGGATTTACCATTGTAGAAAACCTCTTTGCATCCTTCTGGGTCACCAACCAAAATAGATTAAACAAAAACAGTTGACCGCTGTCTGACTAATGACCAGGCGAGAATATATTTAGAACAACCGTCTCTTGTTCGCTGTTTTCAGCCATGCGTCGGTACAGACTGAAATATCTTAATTGGATGATTTGCTGCTTCATTTTGCAACCATTCTACCCAGAGGACAAGTCGAAGTTCCTTTTGCTCTAGCGCCACCATGAAGTTGATATTATTTTGGTTTTGAGTGAAAGGTCTTGACAACTATTAAATGGATTGTCATTACATTTAACACACACATTAATGTATGTACTTTTATTTATGATAACAAACCTGCAGGCTAATGGCCTTCCCTTCAGCGTCAGCTGTTAAAACGACCAGCTAGAAAGTTCAACATTTACTGTTTTCCTGATACCTCTAACTAGGTCAAGCTCAAATAAATTAATACATTAATTACAGAGGAATGGGGGTTCATTTTTCTAATATAAGATTTTTGTTGGAAATTTACGACATTACAGTGGTACATATATGAAAAAAAATCACAAATGTTCAAATAAAAAACTTAATTTTTTTTCTGAGATAGAAGACTCAATAAACAAAGAAAAACATTATTTTTTAGCTTCACTTTGCAAGGTTAAATCAACATAAAAAAAATCTCCTAAATCTTGAGATTCTGAACTTTTGTCAAAGGATCGATAATAGCCCTACTTTACCGAGATAGAATGTGTTATATTAACTCTGTGCCTGAAACCTAGAACGTCATGTTGGTATTGTCATTGTGAGTCTCTTAGCACGCTCATGTTAGCATTGAGCACCAGGGTGCCTAGCCTCACAGCATGCTGTAGAAACTCTAGAGAAAAAAAATCTCATCCTATTATAATCTAATAATACGATGGACAATATTACATTATCATATCATCTCACGTAAGTCTTACTGTTCTAACTCTAAAATCAGCCAAAAAGTGATTTTGCCTTTTATCTAACTCTACTTCCTGTCTCATATTATAAAAGCTATCTGTCCAGTGAGCACTCTACTCAGACTGCCACTTTTCTGCTGCATCATCTCTTCTTCTGTGCTCCTCTCTGACGCCCCGCAGAGGAAAGAACTGGGGGTGGTGGTGTATAACTGCAGCTGTCTGGCTCTGGACCTCCACCGAGTCTTTTCCTTTTACTGGCAGCTTCATGAGAGGGACTACATCCCCTCCATCTGGTCGAAGAGAGTTACAGCCATCTACGGGAGGCATGACGCCCTGGAGCTACAACTCAACGCCACCGAGGCTGCTGCTTATGTGTCTGTGAGGAACAACTCAGCAGTATTTACAGCATGTTAACACATAAACTGACTCAATTCAAAATTCATGAACCACAGCTTATAAATTGTCTGTTTTATATTCCTCTTGAGGCACCAATTTCCTGACTGTGGACTAGGTGGTGGACGTCTTTATTAAAGTTTCATTAGCAACTAATAGCAGACCTACACAGGCGGTGATTAATCATGTTAATATCACACTGAGGAGCATCTCCAGTCTGAACATCTCAGTCTAATTTGACAGTCATGAATCTTGTTACCCTCTAAGCGACCACATGCTTATCAGTTGAATTCAGGGCATTCATCATCCTGTAGGAAGTGAGGAGCCATGCTGTTACAAGCTGCTGCAACTCCAACCTGCTCTTGTGCCTCACGTCCTGATTCATGGCTGGAGAAATGTGCCTAGTTGTTTTTCTTGGCCAAAATGTTACACTTAATTTGACATTTTGGACATTGACAAACCCTAATTAGGTTGGCCTTATCAATGTAACATTTACCATCGGGATGAACATTTATGGTTGTCGATTTTGGTTTGTTGATCTTGGACTAATTGAATACCAAAAGTTATAGAAATACTTTATTCTGACCTTTCAGTTCTTCGATTTTACTTAATTCTTATTAAATTTGGGCTTTGGGTTCCTGCAGACCTCGCCTGAACTCTTCTGCGCTAGAGATCGCACCAGAGATGTAGATGCCATCCATCAAGTCATCCAAAATGCAAAGACGTTTATCTTCATATCTGTGACGGACTACCTCCCTCTCGTGAGCAGGAGTTTCAGAGGAACCTCAGTCACAAGGTACGTCAGAACTCAAATATATATTCAAACAAAGTTTCCTTTGACAGATATATTTAATTATTGTTTGGATGAAATCCGATCTTGTATTTACATTGTAAAACTGTGTCTGATTTCAATGGGTGCATCTATAGGTACTGGTCAGCTATTGATGAGGTCATCAGAGAAGCCGTGGTACTAAGAGGAGTCAGAGTTCGTCTGCTGATAAGCTTCTGGAAGAAGACTCATCCTCTCACCTTTAACTTTGTCTCTTCCCTTAAGTCGCTATGCATGCAGATGCCAAACTGTTCAATAGAGGTGGTACGTAAACTCAAATATAACTCCTCCAAAATATGTTTCATGAAAGCTGTAGTTTAGTATCTGCACTGAATGTATAAACATTTCAACTACGGAAGCCCAAAGACAAAAAAATATGGTTAAATAATTTTCTCTTCTGGGTTTTAGACTTAAAAACAGGTGATAAAGGTGGAAGTCTGCACTTGGTTGCTATCATTGCCACGTTATTGGTTTATTTTTCATTTTCCCTTCTCTCGCCCTGCTGTGATCCAAATTTTATTTAAAAAAATATATGCTGTATTTATTTTACATTTCTTGCAAAGCTCACTTAATACTATTTAAAAAAGAATACTATGTGGCCAAAGTATAACATCAATTGTATGAAAAAAGTACATTAAACAACTGATCCTCACAAAACGCATTTGTCCGCCCTCGCTGTGGATTTATTTGACCTGTTTTTAGGTCATTATCTCAAGAGAGAACACTATATAGATTACATTAGAAAATGTAACATCAGCTTTTTTTTCACTTGCCTCTCAGGGCTTCCATACTTTAAACTAATGTTGTTAATTGCATTTTTGCAGCGTTTTTTTAGCAACAAGGAGCAAGAGGAGGATATTCAACATGGACTCAACCACAACAAATACATGGTGACAGACAATGCTGTATACATTGGTAGGCAATGTTTAATTTGTTTTTGTTTGTTATTTGTGTCCGTTATTTAACAGGACTTTGCTTAAGCACCGATGCAACATTTACATTCTGTTTGTTATTTAAAACAAGGAAAAATGCATGTATGCATTTTGAAGATATTTCAGGTTGTCTATGATGTCTTCTGATGCTATTACAAAAACACTGTGTGGTGCTTTTCTTTAAACAAAGACAAGAAAGTGAAGGCTATTTTCCAAATGTTTGCTTTTTCTTAAACGTTTGCTCACTAACACAACACTGAATCACGCAAGCAAGTAGCTTTCTACAGTTTAACGGCATTTTTCCTTGAAATAATACCTTTTACAAACACCATTTCTAAGGTTTTTCCATCTATCCACAGGTAACCATGACTGGGTTGGGAGTGACCTCGCCATTAACACAGGAGTTGGGCTGGTTATCAAGATGAAAAATAGTCTCGAAGACAGAGGAGCGACAATCCTAGAACAACTCAAGGCTGCTTTTGAGAGAGACTGGAAGTCCCGGTATGCTAAAAACCTACTAGGAAACAAAGACCAACAGGGCAAATACAGAAACCTGAAACAAGGGAAAATGCATATGGAGTCTAAGGAGGAAAACAAGTGGAACAACCCTTTAACTTTATAAGCACAGAATGTATTTCTATAATCCTTATAAGTCTAATAAGGCTGAATACTCTGAAAACGTATACACAATTAGAGAAAGTGAGTTGCACTCTTAGACTTGATTTTAGTTTACAATTAGGAAAATACTGAGAGGCAACTATAAAACTAAATCTGATAATAAATTGATAATATTTGTTTTCTCTCCTTTGTTAATGGCATTTTATCTGCAAATTGTTTCTTGTAATACTAATTTTAGCCACAAGAGGCCAATGTGCACCACTAGCCCATGTTTCAAATATGTCTAAAATAATTGATAGCATTCAATTTTATCCAAAACATATGCACAAGGAAAATATAATATGTTTTGATTTGCCTACACACAATATATGTGCCTTGAGTTTAGAGTGCAAAGAGAAAATAATAATCATCAGGAAAATAATGTATGCTTTTCCAGATGAAGAGGAAACAAAACTTCACCTGATCAACATTTGTTTACCTGAAAATAAAATCTTCATATGATGTTTTTGCCTCCTACCACAAACGATATTGAAAAGAATACATTTTGAATTGAAAAATGCACACTAGGTTTTTGTTTTTATCATACGCCTCTCAGGGTTTTCGTAGTCCCTATGACAATGTGGAGGTTATAATTAGACTCACTACTAGTTACAGAAATAATAATATCTACTTAATCAAAAGTTGACTGTTATATGAGCATGACATGCTGCATGGGTATTGAAAGCAATATTTCAAATTCAAAATATTTACTAGTACACACAATATGCTGATTATAACATCAATATGCTCAATGTTAAACATATTTACAAATACAAAAACACATCCAATAAACCTCATCAAAACAAATCACATTTAGTATTTAATGATGATTCATTATTTTTTGTCAACCATTTTTATTTGTTTTTTATAAACTTTTTTATAATTGAATGCTGTATTACCATCAATTGTAGAAAAGGCAGTATCTTGAATGTATATGCAGTAGATTTACAGCGGTGGCTAAAGCTGTTAATCATTTCATTGATTATAATCATCTGACCTAATAAAATGCATCTTTTTCATAATTGTTGTTGTGTTTATTATAGCATCATTTATATGGGAAACAGAGTTGCCAACAGTAATATTGTACACGCATTCCAACAAATACAAGGTCATACGCTACTCGACAGATGTCAAGGTTTTGAGGTAAGGTAGGACCCAAATGTAGTTTGAGGAGAAGCGGAATTCAGAGTGTAACAAAAGGCGAGCTTTAAATTACAAAAAGCTGTTGACAATGAAAAACAAACAAAAACCATGAATCTATAAACAGGTAGCACGAGGTAGCATCCAGACAAAACCCGATAGTGACAAACATAGAGGGCGACAGGAAAGACAATGCACCGACATGGAACACAGGGGAAGACAAGACTAAATACACAGAAGGGTAATCCCAGGACAAGACACAGCTGGGCAGGGGAGGCAGGAACACAAGGGCAACAGGTGAACACAATGAGACAATCAGACACAGGAGGGCAAACACAGGAAGGAAGACCAGACACAGGGAGAACAGAACTTCAAAATAAAACCATGACAAGACACACACAACTAAAATCGTGACAACAGATAATGTTAAGACTTTCATGGTCAAGTGTCTTGCTTTAAACAATGTTATGAGCAGTGAATATAGTGCTGCTCAATTTATGTTTCCTTTTATCAAGGTCACTAACAAGCTTTAGGTTGGTTCCCCTTTGTCATGCAAATTGCAAGTGAAGAAAATGTAAATATGAAACATAATGAGGACTCATTCCTTTTGTTGGATTTAAATAAAAGCTTCACTGTTTTAATGTGATTACAAATAAATGCATGCAGGAGGCAGGCAGGCATGTTTAACAGGGTTAGTGTGGTGTATCATGTACTCTTCTCAAACTGCATATTTCAAAAGTATTATATTGTTCAAAGTTAAAGCCCCCCGTTCATAAAACAGGGTAACCAGTATGTCCAAGAAAACACTCTATAACATAAAAAAATTGTCAGAAAAATACATTTAGTTTAATTTGTTTCTAATACTTTTTTATTTAAACCAAAGATAATTATAGATTGTGCACACTGTTTTGTTATTGCCCTTTTCCCGTTACATGAAACCACTCATGTATTCACAGATATGAAGTGAATTATATAAAAGATACAGGATTACATTTAAAAATTATTATCAAAAATAAATACACCAAATAGAGAAAAGAAAGACACTTCAAAAATAAAATCAATAAAATAAGAATAAAATGAGATTAATGAAATATGTTCATAAAATACACATGAATTGATAATAAATTGATTCTTTATCTTAATCCTCTCCTGTTTTCAGTATATTTTAAAGTTTGTGTGATAATCCATCTGAAAACCCATTTTTGGGCCATGTTTGGCCAGACATAGGCAGGCAAATTCCAAAACAGGATGATTGACAACATACCCACATGGTGTTTTAGCCAACAGTGGCCCTCACACCATCTATGCACAGAATTATAATCAGTCAAAGTCCGGTATTTAACATTCACATTAGATTACATTATTGGATTACATTTTTATGTTAAAAAAATAAGGTACAAAACAAAGGTTTCTCTGTTAATATAAATGGACAATTAACCATTTATTTGGCGCTTGATAAGATTCTTCAACTTTACTAAGAATTGTTCAAATGAATTCCTTTCGTCATGAGAATATTGCATTGTTATTATTGTAATAAGAAAGGATATGTATATGTAGCAGCACAGCCATTTAAAATAACACTATTTACACTTCTTATGAGATATGTGTTATTGTTATTTTGTCCACCATATATTAATGAAGGCAAGCTAAATAACAGAACTGTTAACCATTAGTGTAATGCAATACATCTAAGCAACAAATACATGTCCTCCAAAATGTCCAGGAAGTTAAAAAAAACACAAAATTATAATGATGTAAGTAAGATGTATTTTAGGTATATGGGTAGGACATTCTTAGGTAGGATAGACATTTTTAACAGTATTTTACATTAGTTTACCCATTTGACCTTGTAATCATAATCAATCACAATACAATTGTACTTGTATTGTTATTCTAATAGGCTGTCATAGGAGGTAGTATTACTTTTTATACACTTTATAATTATAATAACTCTGTTTTTATAATTATTTGTATTATATATATAGGCAATCTCTGGCAAGGTTATTTGCCCACAGGATTAAATGTATTTTATTTGGTTGTATCTCCATTTACATGTAGGCCTATGCCAGATTAACAGAGTTATGTCTAGTTTGTAACACAGGGAGGCGACATAACACCATCACAGGCTGAAAGTTGATTTATAACTGAATAAAGGGGAGGGGCACTTTGTTTTTGTGTTTTTTTTAACAGTTGCTTGTATTTTTGTTGTCTTTCTATTGCTTTTATTTGTTTTTATTTAAATAGTAGGCCTACTTGGTGCTTGTGTTTTGCCTTTCTGCTTCACTTTCTGTTTTGTTAAAAATAAATAATTAATGTTAGAAAAATGTCATTTTTACTTATCGAGATAAAAACAAGAGAAGCTAATCTTTAGCTAAGTGGCTAACATTATAGTGGGTTCAGTGTTAGCAGCAGTGTTGCTTTTGTTGCCGTGTGAAAAAGAGGCTGATGGGAAGGGGTGGGGGTGCTGTTGTCATGGTGACAGATTAAAGGGCGAAGATATTTCATAGCTCTATTTAGCATATCCTGCTGCAGAGGCATCAAAACTAGGCTATGTATCCGAAAAGGAGCGAGGTTTTTTAAAATGAGAGTTTATTGTAGCACACTTTGCTAAAATGTCACTTCTGGTGGTAAAATATTTAGTTTGAAAAATCTATCAGGGTTAACTCTTGACGAGCAGGGAAACTGGGTGGAGGAGGCGGGGTTGTGGGAGGTGATGGCGGGGGATTGAGGGCAGATGCCTTTGCAGCAGCAGAGGAGCTTGGAGGATGTCAGGGTGCTGTTGCGGGACAAAATGCGGACAGGACTGGGCTTGAACACCGATTTAGGGACATTTAAACGGCACTATGTCCCGGATGTGGCTGATAGCACCGTACCGAGAGGAGTCAGTGTGTGAAAACCGCAACTAAACCGCAGTGCCGAGAGGACATTCTCAACTAGTTTGAGCAAAATGGATGGGACGATTTGGAGGGTGCACTCTTGCAAGGATGCCTCACTTCTGCAGGAAATGTAGTTGCTACCAGTCCTTTTTTTCTGATTGACACAACTGGGATATTCTCTGGAGCTTTATCACCCACACAACCTTGGTAACGATGGAGAGTAGAGTGTTTCTGTCCTGCCTGGACCAATTCATGCTGAGCCCTCTTGTTACTTGGGTAAGAAATGCAGAATAATATGATTTCCTGCCTGTGATTTAATCCTGTCATGTTGTTTAATATGCCCTCTTTTTATTTATTTAGGTGAGGACATTTGTACCACATGATGGGGGCATGCACTTGGACTTCTGTGAGTTACTGGATGGAGTCTTTCTGAATGACATAATGACACAAATGTAAGTCACAGCTTTGTTCTTGCAGTTTAAAATGTATTTGTCACATTTGTAATCTCAGTTGTAAGAGGTGTTCCAGGTTTGTTCAAAATACAAGTCTGTGTTTTGAAGCTTTTGGCTGTCATATACTTGATAAAGCATGTGCTGATGGCGATTAAGTACAAAATTATTACACTAGAAACCATACTAATTCAGTATTGTGTTAAATAATTGGGTATCTTCTCCCATAGCAGATAATGGTACAGTATGAAGCGTCTGCTATCAGTCTTACCCAGGCACTAACAGAACTGGCTTTGTCACCTTGCAGCAATGAAGGGGATCTTTGTAGTCTGCAGTAGTCTTTAAATGCAACTTCCCTTATTACTTTACAGGTTTGGGTTTCTCCAAAAATGTTACAATTAGCATTAAAGTTACAGACACTGTGGGACAAGACTACAAAGACATGACTCCCAAGACACAAGGGGCATCATAGATACTGTCAAGACACTACTTAAGAGATTATGATTTGGGTGCCTTATGTTCTGAGGGACTTACCCTCACCCATAAAAAACACTAACTGATGGTCCTCTGGCAGTTTACAATTGGGATACACAACGATATCCGCATTTCACAATATTCGAGATAAAAGATTTAAAATATAATATTGGCATTGGCCAAAGATGAACATTTCCTATGATATGAGAGGCTGATATGTTACATCACAAATATTATTAAACAGGCCTGTTTTAATTGTAAACAAGTTTAAGAAGCTTTCTTCTTTTGTCAAGTGAATTTAAACATTTTGAAGCATTGCATTTTATTTCTACATCTGACAGTGGGCCATCATGTAAACTCCACTACAGTAGAGACGATGTTTATTATGTGAAAAAAAATGTGCATGTATGGATATCAGCAATCGTGTTGGAAAATGTTGACATATAGTTTGCTTAAATCCACTTTTCCACCATTGACGTTTACGTTCTAGATTTATGGATTTATTGTTTGGGGAATAAAAAGTCAGAAAAATAGTTTAAATGTCTTTCCCAGAGACTCCAAATCCTAACTAATGTCCTTTTTTGTCAGTCCAAAACCCTAAAATATTCACTTTAATACTACACAACAATATTAATTCGGATGTGAGGGGATAAAACAGCATTTTTGGAAATTTTTGCATGAAAAATAACTTTAACGAATCATCAATTATTAAAATAATTGGAGATCGACTAATTGGTGGATTTATTGCTCCAGCTCTGTTTACAGTTGGATAAAAAGTGCTGTGAGTTGACAGGGGGCAACACTTCAATGTTCATGTTAGGACGAAATATCTCTTTTATTGTAGAACTAAAATAGAAGAGATACAATAGAAGAGAACTGATAAAAAAACAAAAACTGATGACCCACGCACTTGTGGATAATGCCCCCCAGATCTACAGTATCCATTCACCCCATGTATCCCCCGGGGTCACAATAACCAGCCTTAAATGCAGAACAATGCAGAGGGAAGGGTTGTGGAGGGGAGGGGATGGAGGCGGGATAATCTCACGGATTGGGAGACCCTCTGGGATTATGGCCTTGTTGCTGGTGTTTAGCAGCACTGGGACACAGATGGGAGGGAATGAGGGAGGGAGGGGGGAGGGACATAAACGGTGATGGAGACAAACAGACACAAAAATGTGACATACTGTACTGGCAGCTCTCTGTATCTCTTTCATACATGACGTCTTTCAAACTGTAGGCACATCACAATAATTACTTTATTGATTTATGTTAATATACATGGACGTGACCTCGGTCATTTCTGCGGAGCTCAATATTGCTTGTTGGGTTTTTATTTGTTTACATAGGGTCACCAATCCACCAGAATAAACAGCAGGGTAAGACTTGATGGCACATTTCTGAGCGGAAGAGTCATTTTATTTAGTGGTTCTGGTTGAGGGGATTTTATTTATGTGTTATTCACTTAGGATATTTAAAGATTATTGTATTTCTAATGTTTGAATATTCTTAAAAATTAATTGCCTTAAAATAGTTGTACAATATTGTGCTATTGGATTATCATTATATCCTTGTCATAAATTGGCCTTAAAAAGGCAGACAATATCATTAATGGCTATTATTTCCATGAAGATATATCGTCCAACAAAAGTTGTTATTCTGACAGGCCTATCTGTACCCAAGGCCTTGAATACATTTATATATAAGTAATCTATTACTTTGGTTTTAACATATTTCCTTTCCTGTTCTCTGCTGCCCTCTAATATATGACAGTGCCACCCAAGAATTCATTAGGCCCGGGCCAACAGCCCAAATATCCAGTCAAAGTGTTTCCTTTGGAAAGTCTAATGCCACCCCGTTTGGCTCTAGAACAGTGTGGGTTGTTGGCTGAAAGGATGACGTCACACCGGCTAAAGATAGGAATGAATAGAGACCTCATACATGTTTTCATGGCGATCGTTGTTCTGGGGCTTCTACCAGCTTGCAGCTTCTCTCTTTCCACTCCACTGACAGACATTTGTTTGTGAGCAGCAGACATGTGAAGTTAAATGCCTTTGTGTTGTCTTCAGAAATCCGTCGGCTGTTCAGGGTGCAAACAAAGTGAGCAGGGATCCAAGTCAGAGGGTCCAGAACCTGAACTCCCTCGTCCAGCAAATCAAGACGTACTATGTGGTGAGTTTTCCCTCCCCTTTTGTCCCAGCCATGTGAAATATGTTATATAAATTTTCTCCAAGCTGCTAAACTTTCCATCTCTCTCTACATGGGATTATGATATCTGAACACTTACATTCTGCCTCAACTTTGAATTATCCATCACGCAAAATCTGGCTGAAACATGCACAGTCCAGATAGTTGGTCAGTAGCATTTGTGTCTAAGCAGATCAACTAGTTCTTCTTAAGATGCCTGCCCTAAATACCAGCCATGTACACATCAGTGTAATCTGCACATGCTGGACAGAGCTTTAGAGTGACATACTGTATAAAGTCATAAGATTCATGGGCAGACATCCCTGATGTTGAGTCTTGGATTTGATGTCTGTGTCGGAGAAATTAAGTACAACTCGAGCTAAGCTGTCGTCTGCTAAGATCTGCTGAAATAAGAAGAAAAGTAATTTCACTCAGGACGAGACAATCAAGTTCTACAGATTAGCTCCGCAAAGGATTGATGGGGTTATATTATTTTGTTACAGCAAATTAAAAGGATCTCTGATCATCATATCGAATCCTTGATTATTGGTAACATTGTTCTCAGCTCTAAAACCATGGACCTAACAGGAAGAAAACATTAGAATGACTTTATGCTTGAGAAAGACTGCAGCTTTTTATTCATGCTTTTACTCATTAAAACAGATCTTATTCAAGTGCACTGCAGTCAAGGTAGAACTAGGGCAGCTCTTGCATTTTTTAACTCACTGCCACAGAGAAACTACATCATACTGGTTCAATTTAGGTTATTTCTGTGTTTTTAGGGCAGTCACATTAAAACAAAGTGGGGTCTGCGAGACACCGCGGAACTGAGCACACACACACACACTCACAGCCAGGCTGTTCGCCACACAGTTCGCCACACACTCACAGCCTGAGAAAAGATAAGGCTGAGTGAGTGTGTGTGTGAGGAGCTCCATGGATTGGTCCATTTGGACCAATTGGTCCATTTGGTCCATTTGGTCGTCACTTAGACCAGGAAGAAAAAAATGGAAAAATAAAAATCTCCAATGAGGCATTCTGGGGGAGCATAGACAGGTCTTTTCTGTGTTAGAGTTTTACTGGCTACAGGGTGTACTTTGAGGGTTTGTGACTCTGCAGACCGTTTACATGCATACAAACCTTCATAACACACAAGGGGATGGGTAATTACCGGAAAAGCATGTCATGGGACCTTTTAATGAAGATTCAACTGATATGCTCTACATTGGTAACTAGAAAGGCACTCTCCAAATGCCTTACCATGCAATGTTAACGAAAGTGAAAAAGATGACGATGGGTTCTTTCTTAGCCTGTACTAAACCCTTTTTACAAAACAAGTTTCTCGTTCAGAGTTTCCTCTTACCTAAAGAGACTGAGACTTGAGACTTTCTCACAGCTCCGTACTCCATACTGACTATATGAAAGGAGAGGTTGATGGGAGATGCATGGCCAGTCAGATGAACTTTCCTTAAAGGGTCAAAGTGGCAGTCACTGGGAAATGTTGGCAGTGGGACTGTATTCCATCAAAGACTAAATTATTCCAGTCTGCAGTGGCTTTCATGGGTATGGATGTCATTTCCTGAAATTTACATGGTCACTTTTCCTCGTCAGAAGTTATTAGCAATGACTGTTACAGTGCACACACTCACCAGCACACATACTGTACACAAAAACACAAGTGCAAGCTATTTAAAGGCTGATTCTAGGCAGTACTTAGAGAAACTGGCTCCGTCATCGTCCCATTCAAAGCGCTCCTCCATTTCTTGGCTGCGTTTCTATACATGTGTTCAGGCAGCTGCTATGTGCTGTACATACATACGCTCCTGTCCATTCAACATATTTGGCTCTAATGCAATCTTCAGTGTTGTGTCCTTTGTTCGGTCTAAAATGTGCCTCATCTTCTTGTTTTCTCTTCCCATCTCCCCTCTGCCTGTTTGCAGGAAAATCTGAGACAGTTAATCATGATTCCTTTGCCAAACGTGATGCTGTTTGGCAGGACTCCTTACTGTGGTACGCTCTTTTATTCCTCCTCACTCCTCTTTAGTGGAGCTGCTAAGTCAGTATGTGGTTGGAAGCCTGATTAGTCTGTTTGCTGATACTCAATATGCACTCCATCGATTTCCCATGATTTCATTAAGATGAAGACTTTTGTATTATAGATTTAGTGTCACGGCTGAACAAGTTGCATAAGAAAATCTGAGTTTATCAAACAAGCAATGTGTCCTCGGCTCATAGTAACAATATTTTCCCTTATATTTAGAAAAACAATATAGTCAAAATGACAAAGAACTCAGCTTGCTTACGCCACAAAATGTTTGCAGACAAAGCACAAATCAATTGAAATGATCATTTACATATTAGAGCGGAACTAGCATATTAATGTAAAGGATTTACTGTATATTTAAAATGTATTTAATCTAATTCCATGGACAATACAGTTGTAGATCTCTTTTTACTTTGCACCTATTGCAAATCATAAACGACATTTTGTGTAATTTGCACATTCATTTAATTAATATTAATATTATTATATATTTTAATACTTAAAAAACTATATATCTTACTTTTTATTTGATTTAGATATTTGTTTATTTGCTTGTTTGTTTGTTTGTTTTGTGGCAATGGGGAAATGTTATTTAAAATTATATTAATGGAAAATGTTGTATTTCATAGTGTTAAAAAATGTAAACAAAATATTGTGGGGCCTAAAACAGCCATGCTAATTATACTAAATGAACTAGTAGCAGTAATGCTATTGTTAAATGCAATAAGAAAACGGCAACGATAATACTATTTTCAATTCGTGAACAATTTCATTTTATTTGTATTTGTCCCGCTCATGGTACGCAAAACTCACTGTACAATAATTTCCAACAAAACATGTCTCTACAGCACACCATTGAGCGGAAAGAATGAAAATGAGGTCGCATCAAAAAGACTTCCGCAGTGAAAACGTTGACAGTATTTCCTCACAGACTGACTGCTATAGATTTCTGATCCATTTTCTAATAGAGTTTTAACTCAATGGCACTCCATCAGTCTGATACCAACACTGCAAAGTGATGGCAGGGCTTTAGGGAGTAGTGACCCAAATTCACCAGCGCTCTATTCAACGTAAATCCATTCCAGCAGCCCTCAGTACTTTAACCTGATACCTTCTTTATCAGATAATGACCTTTTTATCCCCAACAGAACAAAGTCTGGAGGAAATGAAGAAGCTTCTGCTGCTGCTCTTGGGATGTGCTGTCCAGGTAAATTCTGACTGTGAGATCAATTCTATTAAGAAACCTCAAATAGCCGGCGAGCTGTGTAGATCTAAATCTGGTCACGTTTTGATTTTCAGTGTGAGAAAAAAGAGGAGTACATCGAGAGGATCCAGACGCTTGACTTTGAGACGAGAGCTGCCATAGCTGCACATATTCAGGAGGTATCTGACTTTGTATGACATGAGCTTTGCAAAGCCCCAGCTGTGTCATGGAGGAAATCTATTTTTGTATTGTTGTGCTTGTCAAATAAACAGGCTTGGGTAATAACAGATTACGTGTGACTGGGATTATTTAATGGGATTACAAAAAAACTAATACTATACACAGCCCAGTTTACATTTTTATTCAACAATGATCTGATTATATTTTTACGCAGTTGCAGCGACAGCATTTTGGGTTTTTATATATATATGATTTGTATAGAGTAAATTACTTAGTATTTTTAAAGTGATTCCCAACCCTCCAAATAAATATTATCGACACGGTTGGTTTTCCTGGCCAGCAATGATGTTTTTGGAGTAAAATAAATGTTAGGTAGAAGTGGTAAGGATTTTTTCGGAAAGGAGGGAATTAAATGTCTAAGTTATTGTGGAGCTGCATATTGAGGATCATTTTGTATTGTTTTTATATTAGCTTTTTTCCCTGCTACCCTGACTGTCCCTTTCCATGTTGACCAGTTGACCCTCAGTCAGGAGAACGTGGTGGATCTGCAGTGGCTGGAGTCCAGCGAGGTGCATCCGGATGAGCTGGAGGTCGTAGCAAGAAACATGGCCGCTCACCTGCGACATGTGCTGGACCAGAGGGACAACCATCTAGAGGTAGATTTCATAGTCATTCATGATTGCTTAGATGTTGTATTTGGGAATAAAGGTGTTGCAAAGTGTGCTTGATAGTGAGCTTTTGTACATTAAAATTGGTATTGAGTCATTATGTTAAAGCTAATCTGTAACCTGTCCTTTTCGCAGACTATAGCAGAGCTGATGCAGGAAAAGGAAGGAGTTTTTAGCTTGCTCAATAGCCCCTCCAGCCCACATTCAGGGAGCTACTCTCCCAGCATGCAGCAGCATGCGGGGACTCAGCAACACCTGGCGGTGGAGCTGGCCGACTCCAAGGCCAAGATCAGACGACTTAGACAAGAACTGTGAGTAAAAAACAATTGTTATTATTTACAAAAAATAAACAATAAGGTTAAACAAGAAATAACAAAAAAGTGTATTATAGGAGTTGGATTAAAAGTAAAATGACTGAGCAGGGGTAATCTTCCAAGAGATAACAAATAAAAAAAATTAAAAGAAAAAAAGACCATACCAACAAAAAAAATGTGAGATCAAAATGGGGAATTTACAGATTTGAGATTCTACATCTCTGAAAATAAAGTCTTAGTTTATAAGGGCAATTTTAGCAAAAAGTAACAGTTAAACATATAGTTAATAATACCAGGAGAATAAAAAAGCCTTTTAACAGCAAACATGCCAATGAATAGAAAAACTGTTATTCTGAGATCTAAATACAAGGCGTATTGGATGAAATCGTAAATATTTACTGGTAGAAGTTTTCAAATCCTACAGTAAGTGATTGTTTCTGGGTACAGTCTGAGCTTTACCACAGGATGGATGATGGTATAGACTCAGAGTGTTAGCCTGTCCTCTAGGGAACTGCCAATAGAGAGTGAATGAGAGCCAGAGAGATACTACAGGATAAGCGATGCCCCTGGGAGTTTGGCCCACATTACGGCCAGCTTGGCAGGTTCCATGGCTGCTCACCACCACTGACCCACATTGGATCTGCAATTCAGCCGATACTACACACACACACTTGCACGCACACACACACACGCATGCACGTACACACTAACCCTGATCCGATCAAGACCTCAGTTCCATCATTGCTCTCGTTTCCATCAAGCAGGCTGTATTGTTCTCTTTTGTTTAGACGCTCAGATTCACTTACTGAGCAAACACAATGTCACTTAAAGCATCACGTATAGCCCTGGCCTTTAACAGCTCTTTCATGTGCATACTGTGTGTTCATCAGAGCCTGCTTTAGCTCTTCCAACATGTATCTGTTTTTCAACTTGTGGGAAATAATATGAAATATAGTTCGAGGAGATTTAAGTTATCTGCATGATTTGAAAAAAAACTAATTGCAATTATTGCGACAGTGGCGATATGATTAGGGATAATAGAGGAAATTATCATTTATAAAATGTCATTCACATTATAAATGAAAAATATATTAAAATAATCATTTTCTGATTTTTCTAAGGGGATCTGTAACAAACAAGACTTTTTCATATAGATTGTTGTAAACCGTTTGTTGTCTGGGACTTCTCTGCAGAAGCTAGATACTACATTCAGAATTATATTTCACATATTTGGCCTTTACCAAATATTTACTTTGGATATTACACTATTCTTTATTGCGATTTCAATAAAATTCAGATGAATTGTGCAGTCCCAGTTGAAATCAAATCTAGTATTGTGCAATGCAAGTTTGCAACCATATCCCCTTAAGGTGTAGAATTACCAAGCATTTTAATTTGTCCTTTTGTGTTTGATCAAATGAGCCATTTGAATATATGTACTGAAAAATTTGTAGGTAGACCACACTCACTAACCAGCCATTGTTTGTCTTTCCTCACCACTCACCTGACCCCACCAGAGAGGAGAAGAGTGAGCAGATGCTGGACTGCAGACACGAGCTGGAGAACATGGAGACAGAGCTGAAGAGGATTCAGCTGGAGGTTTGAAGACTGAAAAGAAGGAAATTAGAGCTCCTTCTGATGATGACACACAGTAACCTCCTGACCGCTCTGCAGATTATACAGATTAATGCACACCACTCTTAGACACACCGATACAAACAAAGCTCCTATGGATTTGTCCAATCAGGAAATCGCAAAATGTATTCCCTGTTTAAGCCTTGTGCCTGTACATGTTAGTATGGGAGACATATAATGTCCCCTGTCTGAACTAACTGTATCTGTATTTGCCCTCCATCTGAAATGTCAGTTTAGCCCCTGTCACTCTTTAAAATCTGCGCTGTCATTGCACACGGGGAATCACTGTATCTGCACTGTATGGCACATTCTAATTATACAGTATATAGTATAGTTGTGACTTTAAAAAAAAGAACCTGACACCTCATTTAAAGGCGCCGCTTCCAAATTCATCTGGGCACATTTATTCATGGGTTGAGTGTATTGATACTTTCACAGTATTTATATAACACCTGCACATGTTTAAAAATCTAAATCTCTTTTTTTAATCTTTTTTATACAATATGGGACTTTGAAATACATATCATTTAACAAACTGGCACTGACATGAAACCGCTGAGATACATTTTCAAGAATTATGCAAAACTCCAGTTTCTGCTATAAACCTCTGTCTCAACTTTGACCAGAACTCCCAGCTGCTTGTAGACGCCCGCGCAGCCCGCACCTACCGAGACGAGCTGGACGCCCTGACAGAGAGAGCCATGAAGGCAGACAAGCTGGAGAGTGAAGTGGGACGCTACAGGGAGCAACTTCACAAGATAGAGTTCTACAAGGCCAAAGTGGAGGTAGATGCAGTCTTAGACATGATTTACCAGTGCATTTTAAGACCTGAAATTATGAATTACTGAATGCAACAATCACGTATTGATGAATCTGTTGGTTCTTTGCATTTCAGGAGCTAAAGGAGGACAACAGGGTGCTACAGGAGACCAAAGAGGTGTTGGAGGATCAGTTGGAAGGCTGGAGGGCACGCTCCGATCAAATCCACCAGCTGGAGAAGCATGGTCTGCTGCTGAAGGCCACGGTCCATGACATGGAACAGGTCAGACTGCTCAATAAAGGAAAACTCAACATTAGATCCCTCAGTTCCTTTCCTGCAGCTGTGAAAAATCTGTTGATACTTTGTGTCTCCACTCCAGGAGCGGGAGGCAGATCGAAGGCGCATCGAGGAGCTGCAGGAGGAGAACCTGGCTCTATGTTTGGCTCAAAGGAGGAGCATGGAGGAGTCGCAGCACCTGGGCTGGGAGTTAGAGCAGCTCTCAAAGACCACTGAGAACTCCCAGGGTAAGAGATGGCTATACAGTAAGATTAAGTAGTGGGATAATGAATGGCTGGGATGATCGGAATGGTGGGGTAAGTAGGGAAATAGTTACTATAACACTGTTAGCACTTTTCTTCTGCTTTAGAGATGTTTTTTGTCTGGATTAAAACAGTTTATTTTATTTTCTGCAGTCAGTTTGAATGTCTGCTGAAACATGACCTCCTAGAGTATAGGCACGTTCAGGAGATGTTTGACCAAACACGGTCTTAGTTTGAGTTTCCAAGTGTTGGAGATATCGGCCATTAATGTTTAACTCTTGCAATGTCAACAGCCTCTTGTACATGAGTCGAGGCACACTTCAATCGTTGTGTTATTAGTGTTGGCAGGTCAAGAAAGAACGTAGTTCCTCCATGATCTTTGGTGCATTGGGCAACAGAATCTACTTCCATTATATTGGAGAGAAGGCAGACATCTCTGTCGACGTTATCTCCAGCTCTCGGAAACTCCCACCAAACAATATTATAAATGTACAGTGTATGTAGCTCTACATGTATATGGAAAAATAAGCATTTAAGATTTTGGGTGTCCCTTTAAACACTTTAAACATTCTGGTACTGGCTAATTGAGCAAAACAAGACTCAACAAACATTGAAACTGCATGCGGACATAATAAAGTTATCCACGAGTGTGTCTAACTCTGTCTAAAAAAAGCCTAAAGGCACTTTTTAATGTCTACAGTGAGTCCTCTTGTCCTTCAGTTAATTGCCACCATGTGTTTGTGTAAAGGCCAGCAGACTCTGAGCGAGGAGGTGAGTGAGAGGACGTGCAGTCGCATGCTGAAGCTGGAGAAGGAGAACCAAAGTCTCTTAAGGATCATCGAGGAACTCAGAGCTGCCTCGATTAACAAACATGGCCGCCAGCTGGTTTGTAGCACCAACAACCGCACCTCATCAACAGATGAACCCAGGGAGCTGCAGACCACCAGCTCACATATCCAAAACAGCACTCATGTAATCCCATTCAGCACAGTAACACGGCAGACGCTGAATGGAGGTTCAAACTACCATCAGCAACTCCTCACTGAAGATCTGGAGGAGGTCCAGAGTCAGATCGTCCTCACAGATAATCCAGACCTCCATGTTCAGGAGAAAGGTCAGCTAGAGGATGGAGACGATGGAGATCATTTCAAAGAACTGATGGAGGACTTAGAAAACCATCACAACAGGCTCCACTGTTTTGTTGGATCACGTGACCGCTCCCCTGGCTCAAAGAGCAGCAGTCCCTGCCACGACAGCATCCTCACAGGTCTGCCAACACGCTCCTCTTACGCCAGCAAGCACACACAGCGGCTGGAGGCCAAGTGCAAGGCCCTGGACACAGTGAACCTGCATCTACAGACTTCCCTCGATAACACCGGTAGGTTGTGTGGAGCAAAGCCACATTAAAGGAAAACCTATAGGCCTACCCTTATAAATTCCTGAAGAAAACTTTTTTCTTGAGAGCCACCAAAGTCAACTATGAATCTAAAAGCTAATAAAAATCTAATTGAAGTAAATGAGATCGGCGTTAACAAGAGCAAAATGAAAAAAAGGGTTACCCCTTTTTGCATGTAAAAGGTCTGCGAAGTTAAAATCCCAACGTTCTCTCCCACACACTCCCCCCCTGACTGAACTCCTTTTTTTTTACTTCCGTGACATAATGACAACGCTATGTAACACGTGCTATTATTGGCTAGCACAGTGGTTCTCAAATGGGGGTACGCGGACCCCTAAGGGTACGTTGGAGTACGGCAGGGGGTACGTTAGATTTATTTTATGTTAATGAAAAAAAGAAAAAAAGAGATAAATATACCAATTTTAGGAAAAGTAATATAAAGTTTGAGCAGTGTGAGTTTTATATTAACAGAGTTACACATATCAAAACACGAACAGTAATAACTGCAGTTTGCCTCCCTGTCAGAATGACAAAGATCCTCAGTGAAGCTCAAGCCCATTTTTCTCACTAAATTCTAAGTACAACTTATTAAAAAAGATCAGTTCAATGCAACTAATGTCATCTTAGTGTTATTGCATGATGTTGAAATTGATTGGCCATACATTTAGTGGTGGATTGTAAACATTTGAAATGTAGCATTTTAGTGTTTCTCAGTTACAACGTTGCTGTTTTAATAAATCAGACACTGATGGTGCAGCACTGTACTGTACCTCTTTAAATAGGCTTTTTTCCCCTAACAAATTGTTTTTGCGCTGTTTAGGGGGTACTTGGCTGAATTATTTTTTCAAAGGGGGTACATTATTGAAAAAAGTTTGAGAATCACTGGGCTAGCATTTCAAAACATTGTACGTGACTTCGCTAAGGGGCGGGACATCTGGGCAGCTAACCAATCAGAGTAGACTGGGCTCTGGTTTCAGACAGAGGGTTAAAAGATGTGCTGCAGCACAGGCAGTATGAGAAGAATAAAAGCTTATTGAACATTAAAGCATGTAAACATGTCACAGTAGAGACACAAAATGGAAATATGAAGCTGAAAATGTGCATAATAGGGCCCCTTTATAGACCACGTCAGCTTAAACATTCTTACACTTGCGAAAACGTTCTAGCTGATAACAACATCTATAATATGTTAAGGTTTAAGTGAAAAGGCCTGTGTTATTGAAGTATATGAATGGCTAAATGGGACTTGAATTGTTCTACTTCATCAAGACTTTTGTAAATGTTTTTGATTCTATGTTCACCGTGGAGGCATGTGAGAGAAAATAGAAGAGTTGGGTGAAGGAAGCCTCAGATACTATAAAGTTTAATTCTTCCACCCCCCTACATCTCTTTAGACCGTAAAGTTCAGCGCCTGGAGGCAGAGGTTCAGGAGCTGGAGGCGGAGAACCACAGTCTGCAGGCCACTTTAGAGGAACTTCGGATCTCTGCACGACGCCTCGAGCAACTGGAAGCAGAGAAGCAAAGCCTGGAGCAAGAGACCACAGTCCTGGAGAGGGAGAAGAGGCAGCTGGAGAAGGATAACCGACGTCTCCGCCAGCAGGTAGGTAGGCTTGTTTTTCTAAGGACATTGTTTGAAAAACGTACTTAGCCCTTAAATAACTTGCCACTGTTCTACCTTCCTCTGTCTAAGGCTGAAATCCTGGAAGCCAACTTAGACAGCAGCAACGTCTGTATGGCCAGCCTGGAAAGGGAGATGCGTTTTGTTGTAAAAGAGGTGGAGGGGTTAAGGGAGACTGCTGAGAGGGTGAAAGGCCTGGAGAGAGACAACAGAGAACTGAGCAAGCAAGCTGCTATCGACCAGAGGACCCTGGTCACCCTCAGAGAGGTGAGGGGGGGGGGGGAAGTCTGTGCTGTCCAGTTTACGCTGACTGAATAGATAATCTAACTGGACCTCCCAGGACATTTCACCGATAAAGCACTGTTTTTCAACAGGAGAAGGAGGAATATTCTCTTATCTTAAAGTCACTATCTTTTTGTGTGCAATTTTATTTTTACTAGGCCTGGGAATTACTAAGAGATGTAATAGGGTTTTTTAGGTGAAGTTATTAATGTGGAAGGGGATAATATTCCCACAAACCTATTGAATTTTCCACATTTAAGTTGTAAATTCAAGAAAGATAAAACTTTAATATTCTTTTTACTTGGATATAATTCAAGATAAAAGTCGTACATTTACAGAAAAAAGCTCACAAATTATCGAAAAACAATGTTCTATCTCTGCGAATAAAAAATTCATACATTTGCATGAACCAACAGAACTCCAAAGAAAACATAATAGACTTAAGTGAGTTTCATAAAATATGTTATTATCAACAAATGTCCCTTAAAATATGTAATCCACATATACTGTCCCTCTCTAGGAGCTGGTGAGTGAGAAGCTGAACACCCAGCAGAGAAACAATGACCTGGAGAGGCTGGCCCATGATTTGGAAATGCAAGTCCTGAACCAGGAGAGCGCACAGCAGGCTCAGCGAGAGGCTCCAAACAGCAGGTGGGAGGTCCCATCCTGTACCCTTTGAAATGAATATTATGAGTGTTATTATGCGACATTTGGTTAAAAAAAAAACTTCTGTCCTTTATGCAGCAGGTTCAAGATGCTGGAGTCAGAATTGGAGGCGTCTCTGAAAAGATCTCTTCAGATTAAAGAAGACAAGATGGCAGCTTTGGAGGCTCGTCTGCAGGAATCCTCCAACCTGAACCAGCAGCTGCGGCAAGAGCTCAAGACTGTACGTCCTGCCATAGAATGTCACCTTTTGAGGCCTATAAGTGTCACATTACAAAGAGAAGAGTATACAAAATACATTGTACTGATTTGATGTGACTTTTGACCCTGCAGGTGAAGCAAAGTTATGAGGCGTTTCAGCAGAGGCAGGAGGAGGAGTGGACAGCCTCAACTTCCTCCCCTACCTCTGAGACTGGAAAGGCAATGAGCGAATGGCTGCGTGAGAGCCAAGAGGCTACTAAAGAACTGCTGAAGCTCAAAGACCGTCTCATTGAAGTGGAAAGGAATGTAAGTTGTTGGCCTTTATCAAAGTAAAATATCTATATCGTGACCATTACATAAAAATGATTTGTAGACACGCTTTCGGTGTGTATTTATGTCAAAACTAGAACAAACCATGTGCTTCATTCTCTTTGATGCTTTTTTTATTTTCTCTTAATTTTCTGTTAGGAGTGTTTAATGATGAATCCCGCTTGAACATAAACTGGAACGCTCGTGCTAATTGTTCATCATTAGCATAGGTGATACCCACTAAAAACTAAGGGCAGGTGCAGATACTCAGGCACATGCCCAGCAATTGCAGTTGTAAAATTAAGCTATTGTTTAAGACAATTAAACAAAATAAACATGTGATTTTCCAGAGAGTCAGTGCCGGCGTTACAGGAAGCATCTAAGAACATGACAGTATGTAAGCCATTCAGAAGCTGAACTAATGCAATATCATCAACAGTCTTTTACTCTCATCAGGGATAAATGTACACATTTTATTTTGTTAGCTTAATCACTCTTACATGCAATATTGATCTAAATTGAATTATATGAAATGCATCCCTTTTGTTTTCAAATGTAAAACTTGTTTAGCTTTGTGGAATGTAAAAAAAAAAAAACTATAGGAAAAAGAAAAATGTTTTCCATCTTCGTAAAGTGCCCTTGAATACGGAAAATGTTCTCTTACCTAAAAGAAAAAATAATAACACATGGTAATATCCTAGAAACCAATGGGTACTAAGAAGATAGGGGGGAAAAGTGGACACAAACAAAAATAAAAGGGAACTCTCTTTGTATATCGCTTCCTGCATGAGGCTAAGTGTGCTCAGCTGAGGGCCTAAACGTAACACTACCTCCATGTTTTCACATCACATTTGACAGTAACCTATCTTCTCCCCTGCAGAATGCAACACTAGAGGCCGAGCGTCAGGCTGTGCAGGCGCAGCTGAGGCAGCTGGAGAGTCAGTGTGACTGTCAGCAGGCTCAGATCCTCGCCCTGCAGAGGCAGGCCGCCTCGCTGCAGGAGAACAACACGGCCCTGCAGACACACAACGCTAACCTGCAGGTGCCTACCACACACACACTCTTCTCTCTGTGGTGCACTTAAGCCACTGTACACACAAATATAATTAGCTGCGGAAAAAGTGAAGAAACCACTGCAAAAGTATCAGTGGCTCAGTCAGTATAGGGGCTTGGACTGTGAGCCGTAGGGTTGCCGGTTCAAGTCCCCGAACAGACCTAAATATGGAGTGTGGACTGCTACTTGGAGAGGTCCCAGTTCACCTCCTGGGCCATGCCATGGTACCCTTGAGCAAGGCACCGGACAACCCCTCCCCCACTCCCATTGCTCCCCGGGGGCTGTGCATTAGCTGCCCACTGCTCTTATTACTGTGTGATGGGTTAAATGCAGAGGTCAAATGTCACTGTGTGTGCTGTGTGCATGTATGTGTGACCAATTCACTTCTCTTGCTCTCTGTTATTTTACTATTTAAATGATGATAATGGATGATCAAAAGCAATCAAAAATATATGTTGACCTGTATAAAGTAAAAAGATACATTAACCTCTAATCCCTTCCTTCTCCAGGTGGAGAAGTCCACTCTGAACTCGCAGAGCGCCTCCCTCATGGCCCAGAATGCTCAGCTCCAGCAGCAGCAGTTGGGGACAGTAAGCGAGCGGGACGGCGCCGTGCGGGAACGTGAAGATCTGCGCGCTGTTCACGAGCAGCTGCTGCGAGATCACGAGCGGCTGGCGGCTCTGCACGAGCGCCAAGCCATGGAGTGCGAGGCCCTGATGGGAAAGCACGCCTGTTTGAAAAACGCCCATCGCACTCTGGAGCTGGAGCATCGCACCACAGAGGACAGGTATGATCATTTAATGATCATTTATTTAAAACTTTTATTTTAAATCCAACAGACTGCTCCAGCTCCGCTGTCACACAGACAGGTACAGGGAAACATTCCTGCCTTCTGTAATAACACTTTTCAGCACCTCACCTCTGGCTGGCAGAGAACTCACTGCTCCATAGTTTGAGTTTCTACTTTCTTATAAAAGACCTGTAATATTTTGGATCCTGTAGTATTTTTGACTTTTGTATTTGAATTATCCAGAATATTTTGTATTGTTTGGTTTATATTGTTTATATTTGATACAGTATTTTTCATTTTATTTTTTAATTGTTAATTCTCTTTTCCACTTGTTTAAGTATTGTATTATAAAGTCTGAACACACTTCTGCGACGAAATGTTGGTGGTGTGTTCAGGTACAATAGCCTACTGCAGCAGTGCACCAAGCTGGAAGACCTGGAGAAAGCTCTGAAGGAAGAACAGATGAGGATGTCCCTGGAGAAAGAACAGCACAGGAGCACGGCTGCAGAGTGCAGCAGGCTGCGGGACGAGAAGGACTGGTGAGGGGGTGAACACACTGATGAACACCCACACACTTTACCAGGGCATAGTGGCAAGACTAGACTAAGAATACTTGCTCAAGTTGTGCACTTACATAGAATTTAGAGGTACTTTATTTCAGTATGTCTATGTAATCTTTCTTTATACTTTTACTCCACTACATTTCGGAGGCAAATATTAATGTATGTTTCACTAAGACATTGAATAAATTACTTTACTATTGATTATTATAAGAAATGTTTACAAAATAATATGTTATGATGTGTGATTGAAGGTTAAGCGACAATGCACATTGATTTAAACATCATTTTTTAGTGATTATTATTATTTTAATTGAGTTATAAAACATATGTATGATTCTGAAAAGGGCCGTTCTACATAATGAGTGCATTTAAATATTGTAACGTTCAGTATTTTTTCATGCAAACACTTAGACTTGATTTTGAATTCAGAACTTTTAATCGTTAAATAGTATTGTAACCATGTAGTATTGCAACTTGTACTTAAGTAAAAGGTCTGAATACCCCTTCCACCGCTGTACAAAAGGACAAACATTATGTATTTGTATTTTCTTTAAGGCTGAACCAGACATACCGTCAGCTTCTCAACGACAACGAGTCGCTGACGGTGGACCACAAGCAGCTGAAGAGCCAGCTGAACGAGGCCAAGCTGGAACACACCTGGCTGGAGGCCGACTTCTCCAAACTCAAGAAGGAGTTCCAGCAGCTGGACATCTCCTCCACGAAACTCACCAACCAGTGCGAGGTACTGACTGTACCTCAGCTCCCTCTGGAAAAGATCACTCTTAAGAGGCTAAATGAGCCGACTCTAATAGTGCAATATTTTTGTGTTCAACCCATTAGTTTCAACCCAAGTGTTTATTATACTTTAATATATGTTTTATTATACTATATATTTCAGTTTTTGGGCAAATCGGACTGCTGTCTTTACTTCTTATGAAAGGCTAGAAGAAGAAAAAAGTAATGTGCCAAAACACTGAATATAGTATGATAGGAAGATTGATGTTTAGAAACCACAAAGAGTATGATTAGTTATTTTGTATCTATGAATATATGCACACATATAGAGTGTTCAAAACAATATTGATAAAAATACGTGTTTCCCCCAAATTGGTCCAAAGTACAATACTTTAGACCAATCAGAACAGATGTTGTGGGTTTTTCCCTACTAAGGATAGTGTTTGGGCACAAAAGGGTTAATCATTGACAATACGACATGACTTGATAGAAATGTGTTCTGTTCAACGTCCTGCAGTTCCACAAAAGATAGAAATGATACATCAAAGTCAAAGATAAAAGACAAACATATTTACATGTCTACTGTGTATATATGGTTTTCACATACAGACACACCTACCGGCACTGGTCACATGTTGAAAAACTCTCATGGCCGACCTCTATACTTCTAAACACGTACAGTGGGGCAAAAAAGTATTTAGTCAGCCACCTATTGTGCAAGTTCTTCCACTTAAAANACCTATCACTGTGTATATCACCATTCAAACATCTTTTAAAAGTTGAACAATTTACTGAAATGATCAAATAAAGTCAACATTTCACTGAGCTGTGTGGAGTTTGTTCAACTTTTAAAAGATGTTTGAATGGTGATATACACAGTGATAGGTGTTAAGGACTAACGTTTATAATAAATACATTTGTATTGATTTTAAGATCTTTTCATACAATCATACGTATTGGGATCATTTGTATTAATGTGGACCGGAGGGAGAGGGGGACGAGCATAAGTTTCACTTTCATTTTTTATTTCAATTCCAACTTTGGTCATGAAGAATATGTTTCTCTGTTGTTCATAAAGCATAAAGCAACAGCATCAGAGCACGGTGCAGAGTCTCTAGATGAGTCCCTCGTTCTTATTAAACATCCATGTTGTAGTCCGCTGTATAGAAAACTGTAGTTTCCATAGTTTCCCCACAGCAGCAGACGCACACAATGACGTCAGCTGGCGCATCATAAACACGTCAGATAGTGAAAGTGCATTCGGATTCTCTAAAGTACCGCAGTCTCTTCTCCTAAGTCCTTTTGAATTCTCCTATCCACTATCCCTTAACCCCGTGACCTTTCACTCAGAGGTCAAGGAATAGACGGTTAGAATTTAGGAGCTGATTTTTAAACTATCCGACCGCAGCCCTGGTTTCTGTTTTTATCAGCTTCTTGATTTTGGGTCATCACATCTCTGTTGTTGGTAATCACTTCTTGGTTCCTGAACCTCGCTGTCTTGGTTTTTGGCATCTGGGCTAAAAGCTCCTCTCATAAATGTTTTAAAGCATCAGTGAGTTCAACCCTGTTAGCCGTGAAAGCAGAGAGAGAATTGTGAAATTACTAAACTGTTTGAAATCCTGAGAAGAATACATTTCTCCTTTTTTGCATTTAGCAATCTTTCATGGGAAAAAGCACAAATATAAGTCTCAACAACAACAACAACAACAACAACAACAACAACAGATTAAAGATCATCCTGACTTGAAAACACTGGTTTTACAACATCCAGTGGTTATTGGTGCATCGCTTGAATTATGCATGTCAGCATCTTAGGTTTTGTGCAACTCAACATCTTCGTTTTCCACTATTGCCTTCCTGGGTTTTTGGCCATCCTCTAAATCTTGGTTTTAGGCCATTACCTTCTTATTTCTTGGGTTGTTGGGTTCTTGTACGTCGCTGGGCCATTGTGATAGCTCATTCTGGGTCTTCACTGTCCTTTATTTACATGATTATCTTCAACATTATTACCTAATGTTCGATGGGATATTAAGAATGAAAGCAGTTTAAAGGATGTGAGAGTTCACTGTAAAAACAGTTCCGAACAAAACTCAGTTTTTTTATGTAATTGACTTGCCCTAAATCAGTGTTTTTGTCAATGTGTGTTTAAACAGTAACACTTAAGCAACAATGAGAACATGTTTTAAGAACTCTTAAAATAGCTTGGAACCACTTCACACATCTTTTTTTAAGTTCTACCAAAGCAACCGTTTTTACAGTGTGGTATTACCTTGTGAAGACTGGTACTGCAGATTTCCCATCTAGCTTGAGATTATTGTGGTTTAAAAATATGCTAGATTACTGAATTGTTACAAATCTCCTGTCAGCTTGAACCCATCCTATATCTTCCCCTCCATGCGCCTGACATGAAACCTTGTAACCCAATCATCCATCAGCGCGTCCTAACTAATCCGCTTTCCTCATGCGTTCATCCATACATTCCCAATCATTTACCTCTTCAGGCCGAGCGGCACCACAACGAAACGATTCTTTCTTATCGGCGGCGTTTCCATCAGTGTGTGATCCGTCATATATTAACCCGTAATGAAATAAGCTGCGTCGGCTGAACGACACCACAAATCAGCATGAACGCCTCGTCTGTATTTCACTCATTGCTGTTGTAGTAAATGTATCATTAAGTCTCATTTAAATATATATTCCTTCTCTGGTTCTATTTCCCCGCAGTCTGAATGTATCGGACATAATGTCAACTAGGGCTGTTATTCCCAGGCTTTATCAAACCTTTAATTCAAAAGACTGGAAACCCTCTGTGCTCTTGCATTCGACAAACAGCAGGAACATGATCACACGGATGTTACCTCTCTTATGTCCCTTTTGTTTCCCGCTCCTCTGAATGACAGTGCTTTTCTGTGTAAGAGGGTCAGATGCTTGTGCTCCATCAGTGGTGCAGGTGAACGTCCTTCCAGCTGGAAATAGATTCTGTTCAATGCTATAACTCTTTATTAAAGGGGACCTATCATGCAAAATGCACTTTTGTACGTCTTTTATACATGAATATGTGTCCCCGGTGTTCCAGGGAACTCACCAAGTGTCAGAAAACACAACAATGCCCGACTGTTTTGGACGTAATATGGTCGGAGCATGTTTTTTTTTTTATAATGGGAAACAGGGTTCGGTCCGGATTGATTTGCAGTTCGGTCCGGAGTTTGAGAACCCCTGGTTTGAACAGTAGCTGCCGGGTCCCGCAGGAGCTCAGCCCCCTCCTCTTTTTAAAAAAAAGCTTTATACCCCAAATCAGCACTTTAGAAACAGGAAGTGAAATAGAGGGATATGAGGCATGGGCTAGAATGGGTGATCCGTTTGGTGTTTTGAGCAAAACACTTCATAGACATGTTTTTTATATATTTTAATATATCTGAGACCTATGCTATTGCCTAAAAATAGCATGATAGGTGACCTTTAAATATCGTTTTTTTGTATAACAAGATTTTTTTAATCTTGTGTTTTAATATGCAAATGAGGCGTTATGTTAAATATGAGCTAATTTGCATATTATCCGGAACAGAACATTGGATAACGCCAAGTTCAAAATTCTGGTCTTTTCTACATGAATATGTGTCCCCGGTGTTCCAGGGAACTCACCAAGTGTCAGAAAACACAACCCTCTCTCTTTTCCTCCATACCCAAATCTCTTAAAAAGGGGCTGCAACGGATCTGATACAGACTGATCCAGATTTGAACACTGCTATGACGTCACAGAAGTGGCGCTACGGCTATTGGGCCAACTCCACCAATCAGGAGGAGA